TGAAGAAACGATGTATTTCAGCAAGTATTAAAACATTTTAGTTTTATTTTAGGCCTTCTTCAAAATACCTATGCCTACAGCAGATGGTTTTTTTCAAAAAACCAAAATAGTTTATTCCATGCCGACATTCTGGTCGGTTAGCGTGAGCCCTGACTGAACTCTGCAGAAACTTCACATCGATCTTCGCATCGCGATGCATGTCTACACACACACATACACACTACACACAATAAAAAACATAGGAAATAGCAAGAGTGATTACAATAGTTCCTATTGCATTACATGCATAGGAACTAATAAAAAAGTAGTTTTCACCCATTTACAGACATTTTACTGCAAAAATCTTTAAATTTATTACCAATCAATTTAAGGGACACAAAAAAAAAATGCAGGAAAGTTATTAGTAAACTGTCCAAAAATTGACAAGGGAATTTTTTTTTTAAATGTAAATTCTTAATTCAATAAATTAAGTAATTCAAATATGGAATTAAAATTTTCTGGACTGATAGTACATCTTTAAAATTATAATATATAAACAAAATAAAAATTGATTGACACGTCAGGCAGAGTTGAACCAGCACAGACACTAACAGGTGTCCCAAACTGGAATTAATCCATTCCCCGACATCTTGTTAAATGAGCTTTCTTAACATTTTTTATTTTCTTTTGCTGCACATGAAGACAATTGATAATAAATTAGTAAAAACATGCAAATATTATGCAATGAGCATCTCTTTAGACAGATACCGGTGGAAAACCAATTTTTATTACAATATTATTGTTATTTGCGGAAGATAGTTATCTTCCGGGAGATTCTTGTTTGCTTGCAGGAGTGTGGGAGACCGCCCCCGATTTTCAGGAGAATCCCGCAACTTCCGAAAGACTTGGGAACCACTAGTCCTAATCGCTGGACTTACCTTCTAACATGTTGGCAATGTCTTCTCCATAGGCAACCTGTTTGGCTGTCAGACCTTCACCATTTACAATACCAACATCAGCGCCATGCTGTATTAAGACGAGAACCACCTCCTGGAAAGTGATCAATCAACCAATCATTCAATCAATCATTCATTATAAAATCAAATAATATCAATCAATCGATCAACTATACAACAAATCAAACTATTAAATAATTAATCAATCAAATATCCACTCAATAGATGCAGTGAGCCTAGCAAACAATCAATTTATCAATCTTGAATCAATCAACCAACCTACAAGCATCAAATCAATCAATCAATAATTGATTCAATAATCCAATATAGTCAGTCAGTAATATTTTCACATATTCATTCCCTCAATAAGTTACTTGTACTCCCTCAATCACAAATCAATTTATATACTATTTCCCTATTATTTCATTCAATACTTTAGGAAATCATCAATAATTTAAATAAAGTAATGAATTAGTCAAATCAATATAAATTGATCACTAAATAATTTTTTTTAGTTTAATCAATAAATATGATCAATAGTTTTAACACAAAACAATTATTCTATGACCAAGTAGTGATTTATTGAATTAATAAATAAATACATCATTATTAATTTAAAAACCAGCATAATATTCACAGTAAAGTTAATCTGTGATAATGATATCTAGAAAAACAAGTTCTCGTAATCTCGAAAGCACCGATGAGGGCAGTATAATAGAGGCAGTAGAGCTAAAAAATATCTATTAATCAATAAACTATTAATCAATGAGCTGAGTGTTTCTAGAGCTCCTCATGAAGACAGTATATAATAGATGCAGTAGAACTAAAAAAAAATCTATTAATCAATCAACTATTAATAAATCGTGAGAGCAGTATAATAATGGCAGCAGAGCAAAAAAAATCTATTAATCAATTAGCCGACTGTTTCTTCTAGCTCCTCATCGGAGCTAAAAAAAAACTAAACAATTGAAAACAATAAAAGCATTGAGTTAATTATTTAATAGGATCATAATTACAGGTTATTAACTGCCAATGAGTTATAAATCAAAACGATTTAGTTGTCACTAATTTACAGACTTTTGAATAAAAAAAAATCCTATTATTATTTGATAACTAGCCGATTTCAGAATCTAATGCAGTAAATGAAATTATTAATGCATTTGGTTGGTTTTTTTTTTCTCGTTTGTAGGACTCATACCCACAATAGATCTGTTAATTGAGAAGTAAAATATGTTCCTAATGTAAATGGAAGTTGACGACTTAATTTTACACAAAGGAAGCAATTAAAATAATAATATAAATACTAATATTAAGGTTATAAGTTCAACATAATAGAGAATGTCTTTAACATAAACATATAAAATATTTTATTTATATTACACTTATATTACGACATTAATGCATAGTGCATTTTTTACATTCCTACAAAATATGGTTTTGATATCAAATTTTAAAATAATAAATGAGCCGTAGTTTACCATACGACCAGTATATGCTGCCCTGTGAAGTGGAGTATCGCCAACATCATTCATTACATTCACATCAGCACCATTTTCAAGAAGAACACTGGCCACGTCCAAATGACCAAAATAGCTACATAAATGCAAAGGAGTCCATCCAAGATTTGCCTTTGACCTTCCTGTTTATAAAAGATTTAACAACAATAATTCCACAATATTTATATTTTACATCAAAGAGCAAGTAGGATTACTAAACATAATATCAGCATATTTGTGAAGGAAATATGATGAGTATACAATAATAAAGAAAATATATAATACATATAAATATAATGAATGAATGAATAATAAATGAATGAACAAATGAAGATAAATCAGATATAATATAAAATAATAATTTATATAAATAACTAACAAAATAAATGAATGAATAATTGATTGAATTGAATGAATGAATAGATACAGTAGATGTATTTTTGAATGAATACTTATGATAAAATGAATGAAGAAACGAAGAAAATTTGTGTATAACATGAATTCATAACTTACATTAATAACTAACAAAATGATCGAATGAATGAATGAATGAAGAAAGAACAGACGAACGAACAAACGAATGAATAGATGTTCAGGAAAAAAACACAAACAAAACAAACAGAAAATGTAACATCATACCACAAAAATTTCAATCGAGAATAAAGAGCTATGGTAACAGGTCTCCCTCCAATTAAAGACCACTTTTGGGACTGGGGTTTCCATGGCAGCAGCTTTGGTCTATAATTAGAATAATAAAGCTAAAAGACATTGTTAATTTGGGACTACAGAAAAGTGGTTTTTAATTGGAGGTAGTCTTAAATTAGAGAGAGACCTGCACATCACAACCAACATATCACATTTACAATTTCATAGGCTACATGCAGATGAAAATTCATATAAGTATAGATGAAATTGTCAGAAATGCAAGACCACACATACTTACCGAAAGGTCCACTTATTAATCTCAGATAAGAAAGTATAATACATACTCCAAGTATTGAAATGCACGCCATCATGTTGGGATTCAATATTTCAACATTAATTATGTCATCATCACACTTACCCTTGCAGTTCAAATTGAGAGAAATTTCACCATCGTTCCACCTTTGGATTAGCGCTCTCACTTGGTCAATCGTTCCATTTCTTGCTCCGTGAAGTAACTGATCTTCCAACTTAAGATTTTCATCCATAGTAGACGAATTCAGCTACAGAACTTTAATGTCACTAAATTGTGAACAGGGTTGTCAATATGTTATTTATCAATTACTGCTTTCACTGGTAAACTGAAAATCATCAAATTAGCCATTCTTGGGGTGGAATTATATTTATGTTTCTTGACCAGATGATACATATATCTTTACCTTTGACACTGACAGAAAAACTAGGAAACAAATGGGCCATTTTTATCTGTTCTAAAGAAGTTTTAAGAAGTTATACACAGTAGGTGGATCCTGAGAGGGGGGAGGGGCAGAAAATGGGTGTCAATCAAGACAACACCACTCTTGAGGGTCCCAAGGCATGCCCTCACGAAATTTTTGTTTTCTAGACGCCCGAAAATAACCTGTGAGGCGTTTTGGGTGATCATTTTTTTCTTAATCTTTATTTTTTCTTTTGACTTTCCAAAAGGGGGTCCGGTGCAGGCCCAGTCCCCCTCCCCCCTAAATTCGCCCCTGATGATATACATACATGCATTTTAGGCAATTTTTTTTTTAATTGTTTATTTTATTTTTTGGTGCAAATAATTTACTTGTAACTATATATTTTGACCATCACATTCTATTGATACGATAGTCTAGCACTCACATTTAAACACATATTTCTTTCCATAGCGCTCAAGGCTTAAAAATACGCTCCTGATAGGAGCACTAGTATACCGCAGAAACTACTGTAGGTCTCTCTAAACATAGTCCATTATCGGACCATATTGAATAAGTGCTATCAGCAATTGGTCATGTAAAAACATCTACCACATAGCTAGGCGCAAATGCATGTGGATGCGCTTTTCAAAATCCCGAACAGGAGAGAGTGGCCATATGGGAAAAAAAATCTGGGTCACATTAAGAATTTTCCTGGACTCTGAAAAATATTCAACCAGTTTTTGTAAGAAAACAGTAGATTACTCACATCGATGTGTTCTTTCCATTGAACTAATGTGAAACTATATTTGAAGTCAATTGATCCATATAATTTTTTGCATGCTCCTAGCTACCACAGCATGAACTGAAATGAACTTATAAGCACATTCCATTTTACAGAAAAATTCCACTATCATCACAGCCAAAACATAGAGTATACTGTATCGTGTACAAGCGTTGTATACTCAAAAATGTATTTGGTGACTATTTCAATTATAAGACAACATTGATCATCTATAATTTACACAATTGGATTCCCTCTGGTGAAAGGGAAAATAAAAAATATATAGAGCTTCTTCCCTTTTTGCTAGAATAGAAGGCCTGGGCAATTAACTGCTTTAAAAATATTACATTAACATCCATGGTATAGGCCTAGATGTACATGGTATGGTGGTAAGTCTATTTTGCTTGTCTTTATTTTATTGATAGGTTGTCGCTTTTTGATCTGTGTTGGGTGGGTTACATAAGATTAACTGTCATAAATTTAATGTAACCCGGCCTAACACAGATCAAAAAGCGACAGCCTATCATTAAAATAAAGACAAGTGAAAATTTAAATAGACTTACCACCATACCATGGACAAGCTTTAAAAATGTTAGGATAATTAAAAAATTCAAAGGATGATAGGTTTTAATGTATATACGACGTTATTAAATCGAACAGGCTATTTTTGCCAAACTGTGTATGGTATGAGATATATTTATGAATCATTTGATACTGTGCCTGAAGCTGAACTGAAGAATACACTACAACTGTTACAATTTTTTTTAATGGTTGCTGTGTAAGAGGTCGCCCCAATCAATTATTGATAACATTCATTCAAGGATGGATAGATGCATACAAATCTTTGTTGACAATTCTAACATCACAAAAACAATGTCGTGTCATGGGCTAAGCAGCAGTTTCAGCTTAGAGAGCTGCCTACTAAAGTCTAGCCTACCTAGACACTACTACTATAAATTAAAGTACTCTTGAATTCATGAATACAAGACTTTTATTTATGATTACCTTGTGGGACTCAAATACTTGTTTAAATCACAGCATATCCATGGTATTTGGCCGTTCCTACATTCTGTTTCAATAAATACTATAAAAACAGAACCGACTCGCTTCACCTCACCCGCCCTGTCGTGTGTTTGTGTGTGGGGGTTCGGAACATTGATTGATAGTCTCTGCAGCCCAGACACATAAAAAGTATAAAGTAAGGAGCGCCATACATCACACAGTTGGTCAAACCATGGAGGAATTAGTTTTTTGGTGTAAAAAATTAATACATACCTACGTACGTATATATTCAAATAATCATGCCCCTATTTCCTTGTAAATTTTGAACCACAACACATAATTATCGTCAAAATGTATTATTGCGTTTTCTCGGAGAAAATAAACGCCCGGTCGTTTAATCGAGGGAGGCGGTTTTTTTTTTTTTTTTTTTTTTTTTTTTCAAATGAGGCTGCATGTAGTGTTTATTCGAAGCGGGGCGGGCGTTTATTCGGATAATAAATACGGTTATTCGAATAATAAATACGGTAAATACAGTTTATTTTTATACTCTCTGGTTCTACACAATTTTTCTATTGGGTCCACAAAGAATAGGTCCATATTTTGAAAGGGTCCGGAATTCTCATATATTGTGTAAAATGGGTCAACTTTTGCGTAAAATGTCCAGATTTCTAATATTTTGCGTAAAATGAATCAATTATTAAGAAAATGGGTCCAGATTATTCATATTTTTGCGTGAAATTGGACAACTTTTAAGAAAATGGGTCCACATTATTCTAATTTACACGTAAAGTGGGTCCAACCTAGTTGTCCTACAGTGTTTGAAAATCCTGGCTATATGGCATTGTACGGTACTGATTTTTGAATAGGCCTATTTAAAAAACTTGTGGGGGCGAGAGAGATGGAAAAATGGTGGATACACCCCTTTTTACCCCCAGTTTTTAAATATTCATAAATCTTTATTTCATTGACCTTTCCCAAGCTTTTCATCAAACATCATCCTTTTTAAGTTTTAAAAAGGTCTGTTCTGTTGTACAACATCAACATATCATTTTTCTCTCCTGAGCGTTTCTATAATGCCCTAATGGCGCTTCATATTGACTAGTTTTGCTGTTCTCGAAATAGACTTGCTTGTACTGACGCCCTGTGGTCTTTAAATTTTATCGATAACAAAATGGCGATGCATCATAGGTCGCAGGGTAATCCTCGGAAGAAAGTACAGGTGGGTTTAATGTGCAATATGCATCGAATGTAACTAGGCCTAGATTATTATATAGTTTTAGAAGATGTGATTCCTATCAATTTAGCAGGCCCTAGTATGTGCATATATAGCTAGGCCAGCTGTCGCGGGGTTAAAGCTTAGCTAGGTGTAGGACTCACTCAGGCTGGGCCTAGCTAGTACAAGTAGGCCTCTGGGGGACTGGGGCCTAGCTAGGTAGGCCAAGAATGTGTAGGCATGCCTTCCTGATCTTTTGGCTTGACCTGGAGGCCTAATGGGTAGGCATGAGGAAGTTCAGACTTTTGAGGAAAAAAATAATGTGGTGTGCCTTTTGATTTTGTATCTACCACTACTAACTAAATGAATGTATGAAAACATTTTAATTGTCTAAACTCATATCTAGGCTAGACTAGGCCTAGCCTAATTAAACTAAATTCTAAATTTTATTTAGGCCTAATTTTGTTTTGGTTCTCTTTTGCATAATTGTCTTTTTATATATTACAATAGATAGGGCCTAGGCCTACTATGATCTTTATAAACTTAATGTAAATAATTATCAACTGAATGCAAATTTTATATTTCTATATATATTGTATACAATATTGATGAAATAATAATTTAGATTTTTTAATGATTAATTTTATAATAATAAAATGTTTTTTTAATTTTCTATGTAATTTAATTGTTTTGTATATTTTATTGTGATTTTTGTATGCTTGTATGTTATTGCTATCTACACACAGTGGCGGCGCAGGGACAGGGGGCTTAATCCCCCCCATCGATGTGGTCAAGCCCCCCCCCCCTTTGGCCAAAGCTCGTCGGGCAGTCGGACCAAAAAAAAATAGGCCTAGTTTTCCCATCCCA